GGAAGCAAAGCTTCTGCATACTGGAACTGTCTTAAACAGGTGTGATGTTTGGTGCTGTCATCATCCCAAAATATCAGATTCCAGTGCTCAGCTCCCTTGTGGGTCTTCAATGCCTTCCATGAGGACATTGATTGATTTACTGTTTCATCTTGTTCTTAAGCTTCTGGCTTCTTTTGAGCCGTCAGTGGTTCCCAGGTTGAACTTCTTAGGCACCCATTGTAGGAGTATTCAGCCTCTGATTACATGAGGACATTTAAAAAATCTTTCATGAGAAAAGTACAAAAAGAAACTCATATACATGTGTATACATGCTTTACTGAGCACTCAGACTACCAGCAATGAACCCAGGAGAGAAGGTGATGACCTTGGTGTTATGTGCCTCACCACCTCAATAAAGTTGAAGTGGTTACAGATGTTCCTTGAGGTACAAAGTGGAAATATCTGAGCAAACCAAAAAATTGAAATATAATGAATATGCATTTAATATACTGCATCTAATGAACATAATAGTGTTCTTGCTATATTAACATGTTTATCATGCTTCTACTGACCTGTATTTAGGAAGTATAATCTAATATTGAGTTCATTTCATAATGAAATATTTAAAAAATATCACTTTATTTATTTATATATTGGTACCAGAGATCAAACTCAGGGCCTTGTCATATAATTTATTACATAGAGTACACAGAAGGGTACATGCTGACGCTTTGTATCTGCCTGCTGACAAATCAGGGCTCACAGCTGCTGCTCAAAAGAAAAAGTGAGTGTTGCTACTCTAAACAAGAATATGCATGGATCACTGAAATATGGTATCTTCACTCTTTTGGGAAGAGAACCACAAAGGAAACACTACACTGAATGGAATCACTACTTTTAGTTTTTTGAATACTTTGTATACTGACCTCCATAGTGGTTGAACTATTATTACATCCCACCAGTGATGTTGAATGGTTCTTTTCCCCTGCAGCATCATTAATTTGTTTTGACTACTTGGCAATGTGATCTTTTTGGAATGAGATGGTGTCCCAATATGCATTTCTCTATTGGGATAAAAAAAAAAAAAAGTTCAACATTTTTTCAGGAATTTACTGGCAATTGGTACTTATTCTAAGAAATGTGTATTAATTTCACTTGCCTTTATCTATTCAGATATTAATTATCTAAGGAGTATCAAGCAAAATTTTTCACCAACAGTAGGTTAATTTTTCATCCTTTTTTCCCCCCACTTCGAAATCTGTGCAGAAGTTTTAAAGCTATATAATCCTTTTTGTTTGTTGGGTCATCCTACTCTATTTTCTGTCACCAGTATCACCACTGAAAAAACAAATTTTGTTTCTGTGCAGGACATGGAATGCCTGCTTCATTCATGTTTCAATGTTTATGTTTTACTCTGGCTCAGGCTTATATATGACTGCTGTAAAAAATTTTTCCATGAGAAGAGTATTTCCTAACAAAATTATGATTTTCAAGTTTTTTTTTAAACTCTATCCTGTTTTTGACTTAAATTTCTTTCTTTCCCTAAACTTCAAATGCAGGTATATAGACAATTCTTTCATCTCTTGCTAAGGCATCTAGTTAAGTTGTCCCCCAGAGTTAGCTTCAACCATGATTATCCTGTCTCGACCTCTTCTGATGCTGGGACTAAAGAACTCACATTTGGCTTAAATTTTAACACTAAAATAAACACTTCCCAGCCCGATTGTTTAAATTTAAGATGACCAAAAATTGCATACTTTAGTTAATTTTTATGAGAATAAAGAGGAAATAAAGATAACAATTTTATCAAATTTATTCAACACAAGAATTGACTACTTAAAATGACACATGCCCGAGCAAGGTCAGGATAGTCAGTACATAAAAAATTGTGCTGCCCAACTGATGCTCAGGGAAAACTAAGTGGTCATGAGAAAAGGACAAACGTTAATGTGTAATTGTATAAAATGTAAAATTTTGATACTGGGGAGTAAACCTAGGAGTACCAAAGCACTGGGCTACATCTGCAGAACTTTCACATCTATCTTGAGACAAGGTGTCACTGTTGGGTAGGCTGGACTCAACTATTTTTCCCTCTTACTTCTACCTTTTAGGTTTCTAGGGTTATAAGCATGCGTCAGCAGGGCCAGCAAGGTTTTTTTCATAGTAAAATAATGGGAAAGAAAATGTGCTCAGTAGTTTCAATGTTGTATCACTGGCTGTGTAGCAATACACACTGCATACGGTGATGGCAAGAAGCAGAAATGACCACACATAGTAGGGTAGAGTGACACTGTACTCTGCAGTGTATATCCCATGAATGATACCAGGTATTTCAGATAAAAAGACATAACCTTAGGTTATATTACACAACCCATAATCTATGTGTCTAAGCATAAATAAGGCTAGGACAACTACACTATGGGTATTTAATGCATTGCTCACTCATGTTACCATGATACCATAGGTTTGTAAAAGTGTAAACTCACCAGAAACTGACTGGCTTCATGTATGAAGATACTGTGTAAAACATTTTATAAATCATACATGTGTTTAAAAGATACTAAAAATAAAGGTCAAGCCCAAATGGGACTCATGCACACATCTTGGCCTGGTGTATGTTTGAAGGCAATCATCACATACTGCAAACCTCAGACAGTGGTCATTAGGAGCACTGAGAGACAGCATTGTATAAATGTCTCAAAACTTGGTAAAACAGAACACAAATATGAATTACAGTAAGTTAGTTAATACACTTTTTACCAACTGATACCTCACATGAGTTAAGACTTCCTTCATGTAATTACTTCAGCTTGCTAGGAAAAAACAATGATTACCAAAGACAGAATGGCACCACAGCTTCAGGGAACAGAATACAGGTATTTATCTGGAATATTCGATAGCAACCACTCTCCCCAAACAGCTCCACAGCTGACAAAAATTCCTTTGAAAGTGTTGCTACTGATTAATCAGACCACCATTTACATTTTCTGGAGACATTACCGTAATTCGTGATATCATCCTGGAGACAAGTCATGGTCCTGCTGCCCTGTGGCAATCAGAAACTCACAGCAGAATCATTTATTTTTGGTACGTGTGATGGAAAGATTAACCCTAAACTAAAAGTCATTGAAAGATAAAGGTGAAAAAATGTTGATGGTAAAAAAATTTATGTAAATGATATTGGCTTCAGCATGGAAGTAAGCAAAATTAGACACACGATATAACATATTGATGTTGGAATAAGCAAGTATCTTCTGACGACATAAAAAACATAACATTTGCTAATCTACAAGTTGTGAGAAAACAACTTTGTAAAACACATGCTCACAAGTCTCTGAAAATATACTTTAATATTATCTATAGCATCAAATTAAAAAACATCTTGTTACACAAAAAATGCAACAGAAATGTAAAACAGATGTAACAAAATCCCAGCAGTTCACAAAACCAATTTAAAAAATTAAGTTTTTAGTACCCTATCCCTTCCAATTTTACAGATAAAATAACTACATAGACACTAACCATACTTGAAAATGAAAAGCTTCTTTTTTTCTCATTGAGTTTATTGGTACATTTTAGGTATACAGTACAGTCACATTCATCATTGGGATCTTGTACCTAAAAAGAATATTTCAATTCTCCATGTTGAGACACTACAAATTAAACAAACTCAAATACAAAATTATGTCAACTCAGTATTTTTACATTAAACCTTATGCATAATCTAGATACATATACATGATTTACTGAAAACCACACAATGAATGTACATTTGGACATCTCCACCTGGGATTTGTCTTTTCCAAAAAATGTGTGAAATGCTGACACCAAACAATGTAAAAATTATTTCAACAGGTCTCCATTACATGACAAATTTTCATAGGATTTTGAAAATAGGCTTACATACAAGTTTTCTCCCCAGTGAGACTTTCACGCATTTAAAAATGTGTATGGACTGACATCTTTCCCACATTACTCATGCACATGATTTCTACCTCATGAGTTTTCATATCCTTGACGATCATCTGTGCTGTTTTTACACACTGCTTACATGCACAGGATTAATAGCCAGTGAGCTCTTTCATGTATTTTATATGCACTGCAGCTGCTGAAAGCTTCCTTTAGTTTCTTCAGTGAGTTTTCATCTTTCAAGTGTGATGAAAACTTTCCTGCCTTGCTTACAAATAGGATTTCTCTCCAGTGTGAACTTTCATGTATTTTACAATATCCACATGTGCTGAAAACTTTCCTGCAGAGCTTCCATAGTTTCTTCCCCCTGTGAGTTTTTTCATGTATTTGACAATATTTGTTTCCTCTGAAAGCTTTCCCACATGAATTGCTTGCAGATTTTTCTTCCAGAGAAAACTATTTCATATGACAAGCATCAGATGTGCTGCATATTTTTCCACATTGCTGACATACATAGGCTTTCTTAAATAGGGCAAGTCCTTCCATGTCTTTGACAAGGTCTGTGTGATAAAAGTATTTCCACAATGTTTACAACACAGGCTTTCTCCTCAGTGTTAGCCCCTTCTTGACTTTGATAATGGTTCTGCTGAAAGTTTTTTGACATTGCTTACATACATAGGGTTTCTCCCCAGTGTTAACTCTTGTATGTTGGAAAGTCACTCTGGTTATTGAAAGCTTTCCCACATTGCTTACATACACAGGGTTACTTCCCAGTGTGAAGTCTTTCATGTCATTGAAAAGCATCATGTGTGCCAAAAGCTTTACCACAGTTCTTCCATAAATTGGGGTTCTTCCCAGTGTAAACTCTTTCATATATTGGGCATTTACCATGTCTTGAAAGCTTTCCCACACTACTTACATGTTTCTCTCCAGTGTGATATCTTTCATATATTTGACAATTATCACCTGTGCTGAAAGCTTTCCCGCAGTACTTGCATATGCAGGGCTTCTCCCCACTGTGAAGTCTTTTTTGGCAATAATTATGTGTGCTGAAAGTTTTCCCACATTGCTTACATACAGTTTCTTCCCAGTGTGAAGTATTTTATGTTTTTGGCAATAAACATGTCTGCTGAAAGCTTTCCCAAATTGCTTACATACATAGGGTTTCTCCCCAGTGTGAAGGCTTTCATGTATTTTGCAACTGTTGTGTGTGCTGAAAGCTTCCCCAGTGCTTACATATGTAGGGTTTCTCCCCAGTGTGAATTTTCATGTACTTTACAAAAATTCTGTGTCCTGAAAGCTTTTCCACAGTGCTTACATAATATGGTTTCTGCCCAGTGTGAATTCTTTCATGGCTTTGACAATGCCTACATGTGCTGAAGGCTTCCCCGGTGTTTACATATGTAGGGTTTCTCCACAGTGTGAGTCCTTTCATGTACTTTAAAAACACTCTGTGTCCTGAAAGCTGTCCCACATTGCTTACATACATAGGGTTTCTCCCCAGTGTGAATTCTTTCATGTACTTTAAAAACACTCTGTGTCCTGAAAGCTATCCCACATTGCTTACATACATAGGGTTTCTCCCCAGTGTGAATTCTTTCATGTACTTTACAACCACTCTGTGTCCTGAAAGCTTTCCCACAGTGCTCACATACATATGGTTTCTCCCCAGTGTGAATTCTTTTATGGCTTTGACAATTTGTACGTGTGCTAAAAGCTTTCCCACAGTACTCACATACATAGGGTTTCTCTCCAGTATGAAGTCTTTCATGTACTTTACATTCACTCTGTGTCCTGAAAGCTTTCCCACAGTGCTTGCATATGTATGGTTTCTCCCCAGTGTGAGTCATTTCATGTACTTTAAAAACACTCTGTGTCCTGAAAGCTTTCCCACATTGCTTACATACATAGGGTTTAGCCCCAGTGTGAAGCCTTTCATGTACTTTACAATAACTCTGTCTCCTGAAAGATTTCCCACACTGCTTACATACATAGGGTTTCTCCACTGTGTGAAGTGCTTCATGTTTTTGGCAATAACCATGTGTGCTGAAAGCTTTCCCACATTGCTTACATACATAGGGTTTCTCCCCAGTGTGAAGCCTTTCATGTACTTTACAATCACTCTGTGTCCTGAAAGCTTTCCCACAGTGCTCACATATGTAGGGTTTCTCCCCAGTGTGAGTCATTTCATGTACTTTAAAAACATTCTGTCTCCTGAAAGCTATCCCACAGTGCTTACATACATACGGTTTCTCCCCAGTGTGAAGCCTTTCATGTACTTTACAATCACTCTGTCTCCTGAAAGATTTCCCACACTGCTTACATACATAGGGTTTCTCCCCAGTGTGAAGTGTTTCATGTTTTTGGCAATAATCTTGTCTGCTGAAAGCTTTCCCACATTGCTTACATACATAGGGTTTCTCCCCAGTGTGAAGCCTTTCATGTACTTTACAATCACTCTGTGTCCTGAAAGCTTTCCCACAGTGCTCACATACATATGGTTTCTCCCCAGTGTGAATTCTTTCATGACTTTGACAATTTGTACGTGTGCTGAAAGCTTTCCCACAGTACTCACATACATAGGGTTTCTCTCCAGTATGAAGTCTTTCATGTACTTTACATTCACTCTGTGTCCTGAAAGCTTTCCCACAGTGCTTACATATGTATGGTTTCTCCCCAGTGTGAGTCATTTCATGTACTTTAAAAACACTCTGTGTCCTGAAAGCTTTCCCACATTGCTTACATACATAGGGTTTCTCCCCAGTGTGAAGCCTTTCATGTACTTTATAATCACTCTGTGTCCTGAAAGCTTTCCCACAGTGCTTACATACATAAGGTTTCTCCCCAGTGTGAATTCTTTCATGTCTCTGACAAGCACTACATGTGTTGAAAGCTTTCCCACAGTGCTCACATACGTAGGGTTTCCTTTCAGTGTGAGCCTTTTCATGACTTTGATAATGACTGTTTCTGCTGAAAGCTTTCCCACATTGCTTACATACATAGAGTTTTCCCCCACTGTGATTTCTTTCATGGATCTGAACATCACTGTGTGTGCTGGAGGATTTCAAATTTTTCTTATATACAGAACCTTTATCTTTCACTTGAGTTCTTTCACTAAGATCAGAGTAGGATTTCCCACACTGATCACATTCACAGGGTTTCTCTCCATCCTTTGACTTTGCATGCTTCTGAAGGGACTGTAAATCACTGGAGTTTCCTGTATGTTGATTACCTTTATATACCTTCTCTTCAGATCCCAAGTGTTTATATGGCTTCAGTGCAGTGTGAGCAATGATAGGCACAGTTAGTGACAAAGGCCCAATCAGAGCCTGCCTACAAGCAAGGCTTTCAGCTGGTGTTAAGTCAGCTTGTTTAACATTCAAATTAGTATCTGGATTGCAAAGGAATACTTCTTCATGTTGATTCCAAGATTTCCAATGATAGCATTCCACTACCTCTTTGTTTCTGCAAAGAAAAAAGTAACAGTGAAGTGGGTCTCTGTATTATTGATTTACCAGAGCAAGTTTTGCTTTGATGCCTGCTAAGAAATTTTGGAAATGAATTCACTGACTGCCTTAGAGGATACCTTCAAAACAGCCATTCCCTACTAGTCAGCCATAAAGAATTTGAAATTAGATTCATTCATTGGAAAATGGATACATATTGAGGATATACTCCTAAGTGAAATAAATAAGTCGCACATGTATAAATACTGAATAGTTTCTCTTTGTGAAAAACTATAATAGTACATAAGATCCTAATGATATAATTGACAATGTGAAATAGGAAGAAAAGGGCTAAAAGTGTAGGGAAAATGGGAAGGGTGGGGGAAAGGTAATAAGGGAAAAGAAAAAAATAGGAGAAAATGAAAAAATGGAAATAAAGTGTTTCTAAGTGGGGAGGGGAGGAGGGGGTGAAGGGAGGGCACGTACAAGGGGAAAAAAAATGAGAAGAAAGACGTGTCCTGTAAAGGTACAAGATCCAAATAATGAATGTAACTGTACTGTATACCTAAAATGTATCAATTAACTCAATGAGAAAAAAAAAAAAAAAAAAAAAAAAAAAAAAAAAAAACATAAAAACAAAACAGCCATTCCCAAAAGGGTGGTATTCATTTGGGAATTTTTAAGTTGGTACATTTTGCAATACAGAATATTTAGCTTCATTTTGGGTAATTGTTAAATATGTGTAACACATACTGATCATTTTCATACCTTTCCCCCATCCCTCTTCCCCTTCTCTCCTTACCCTGTTTGTCTTTCCCATCTCCAAAAACTCAGCTTTTCCTTTTTCTATCACCTCTTCTCTATTTTCTGCTTAATTCACATTTTTTGGTCTTTCATATAAGAAAAAGCATGTGACATTTCATATTTTATGCTTGAACTATTTCTTTTAACATTTAGTGACGCGGACCCACTTATTTCTTTTGGCAAATGACATGATATTATTGCTCTTTTTGACATTATAAAGTATATTTCCTTTTTCTTTTTGGTGTTGGGAATGAAACACAGGTACTAGCACAAAATTTCCAGTCTTTTTGGTTCTTATTTTGAGAGTCTCATTGATGATTAAGTTGCTCTTTGTGAGCTTCAACTTACCATCCTGCAGAATCTGTTTCCCAGAGTACTGGGTTTATAAGAATGCAAATCACGCTGAGCCTATCAAGAATTTTCTCTATCTGTGCATCCAGTGATGGATACGTAAGCTAATTCCAGGGCTTAGCTGTTATAAATTGAGCTGCTCTGAGTATGGTATACATGTATCTGTATAATGTTAAACCTTCTGAGAATATACCCATTAGAAATATGCCTGATTACACTTTTTGAGACATCTGTGTACTGATCATCCTAGTGGCTGTACTAACATTCCACTAGTACTGTTGGAGGGTGCCATCTAAGAACTTTAAATCATGAATGGACTCAATTCTCTGGAGAATGGCTTGAAAATACCTATTACAACATTAGCATTCATTTCTACTTTGAATACTGCTTCCAGGTTAGCAAGGTTTAGATAATGAATGTCTGCTATTCACCTGGATTCCAAAATAGATATCCTAATGAGGGCTTCCTGTCAAAACTCAAAGTTCTGAATAAGCATATACACCTATATATAATACCTAAATGCAACTACATGCATTTTCATAATTTGATTGTCAGATTATGTATACTGAAGCTGCATACATCTTTGGAGAATATTTATTTCCTGGATTGTCCTGTTTCTGCTCACACCCTGACTCTTGTGGAACATTCATTTTTCTTGTGAGTGTAAATTACCTTAGGCTTCTCCAGTAATTTTTGTATTCTTCAACTTCCTGGTTATCCAAGGTGTTTCCTGAATTGTAGTCACAGAAATATAAGGAGACAATATATTAGTAGATGAAAAGTAATAGAGTCCAATTAGATTCATGGTATAATGTAACCAGGCCTGATATTCTTCAAAATGTTTTCATATTCTTTGTAATGAAACAGCATTGATGAGAAACAAACAGTATTCTCTGATTGTACAAATGAAAAAGTGATGTCATCCTTACCTACAGCAGCCAGGTTCCTAAGGGTTTCCGCTGTCACATCTCTGTAGAGCTTCTTTTGGGATGGATCCAATGAAGACCACTCCTCCTTGGTGAAGTTCACAGCCACATCCTCAAAACTCACTGCCTCCTAAATGATCACACATATTAAGGTTGACACTCACAGCCTGAGATCTCGACTCCTCAAAAAGTTAAAATGTGAGACAGGTGTAGTGATGCAGGTCCACAATCTCAGCACTCAGGAGGCATGAGTTCACGAGTAGCATGGGCTCCACCGTGAGTTCAACGCCAGCCTGATCTAGATAGTTAGACCTTGTATCAATAGAGCAAAAGAAAGCAAAAAGCTGAATGGAGGCTGAATCCTTCAAATATTAATTCCATGTCTTGCTCATCAATTCAATGAGTAAATACATTTTTTCAGACAGCAATTCTGATTCTAAGTTGCCACTCATTGCTAAAGCAACAGCAGAACAGGAGCATTGGTTCTTTTGCTGGATCACTGGAAGTTATCTGTGCACTGTCTCTAAAGCAGAGCTCATAGAGGGAGCATACAAGATCACCCCCCACTGGGGCAAGTGAAAATCTAATGAATGGCTTTGATAGACCATAGGTTATATCTCTTCATTTATGGAATTGAGTCCTTCTTTCTTTAACTGTGTGTAAGCAGTATTTTGAAATATTTTTTTTTCAATACTAGGAATCAAACTCAGGATCTTTCTTGCACATGCCAGGCAGGTGCAGTGCTGCTGAGCTGCATCCCCAGCTGGCATTTTAAAACTTGAATTTGGTTTCACAGAAAAAATAAATAAATAAATGAACATCAAATATGGTATATGAATAATTAAAATGTTAATAGAAAAAGTTTTATAGGAACAAGTCTATGAAAATAAGGAAAACAAGGAAAGGCTGGCAAATTATCTTATCTATAGCTCAAGGTCACCTTGCTCTCAGATATAAGAAATTCTAGGGGAGTATGAAGGGAAGCTGAATAAATTGTATTATGTGCACTGAAAACCAATATATCACAGAGTAATCAGGCACAGAAGGAAAGTTTCAGAGCCAGGTATGATGGTGCACACCTGTAATACCAGCAATCGGGAGGCTGTGGCTGGAGGATTGCAAAGGCCAGCCTGGATTACACAGTGAATTAAAAGCCACCCTGAATGACATAGTGAGACCCTGTTTCAAAAAACCAAGATAAATAAAACTACTTTAGAAACAGGAAATTTCAACCACATGTAGTGGTATATGCTTGTAATCCCAGTACATGGGAGGCTGACACAGGAAGATTGCCCTGTGTTTGAGGCCAGCCTCAGCTGCATAGTAAGATCAAGTCCAGTCCAAAATACAAAGTGCGATCCTGCCTCAAAAGCCTCACCAAAAAGGAAAATTTCCATTCAATACCATCTATGCATGAAATGAGAAGCTTCCATAATGTACATGAAAGACATTCCAATCCCACCTTTCATGAGACTGTGCTATTAGCAGAGAAAATGACAAACGGATCTCAGGAACAGAAGATAGACTACAGTGGGCCCACATGTATGTGGGATATTGATTCTTGATAGAGCTGGTGTTAAAGAACTCGGGAAGAAATCACAATCTCTTTCATTTATATTCATGGAGAAGCAGGTGTATATATGGAAACCTGGGTTCTATAATCTTTTACATGCAATAATTAAGTTACATATTAAAATGGGAAAGGTAACTTTGAATGCCTTGAGAATTCATAGTGAAATAACTTTTTAAATGTGAAAAATAAGTTTTCCTCAGAAGAAAATCAAGTAACTATCAGAAAGAAGTACAAGGAGAAGATGAAATACATGAAAACCATGGCATAAAAACAAGACAAGAAAATATTGGGTATGTACGCAGAATAAAGATTTGTAAAGATCAATGAACACAAACCTAAAAAAATGATTACAGTATAATTAACTCAAGAGAAAACATTCCACTGTGGAAATCAGTTTGGAGATGCGTCAGAGAACTAGGATTAGAGGTTCCACTTGACCCAGCTATTCCTCTGCTGGGTATTTTTCCAGAAGAATTAAAAGAATCATACCACTATATGTGTACCCATGTTTATAGTGACACAGTTTGTAATAGCTAAAACTTGGAAACAACCCAGAAGCCCATCAACTGGAGACTGAATAAAGAAGATGTGGTTTTTCTATAAAATAGAATATTACTGAGCCATAAAGACTGAGAAATTAGAGACATATATAACTAAATGTATACACATTGAGGCTATCCTATTAGGTGAAATAAGTAGGACACATGAGTTAATTCTGAATAATTTCTCTGGTGTGAAAAACTAAAAGTGTAAATAAGGTTCAAATGGTATAATTGGGAATGTGAAAATGGCTGAAGGCGAAGTGAGAAGGGGAGGAGAAAGGAAATAAGGGAAAAGACAAAGTGGAAACAAGTCTTTGTAAATAAGGAAGGGTGAAGGGGGTTAAAGGAGGGCAGGGGTATGGGGAAAAAACAAGAACCAAGACATTGCATCTAAAGGTACAAGATCCCAATGATAAATGTAACTGTACTGTTTGCTTTGAATGTACTAATAAATTTAATGGGAAAAAAAAGAGAAAACACTGAACAAATAACAAGAATCTACTTTTTTTTGATAACATGACTAAAGAAAATGGAAATGTGGAACAACACAATAACGATGTAGATTTATGTAAGAATGGAGAATCAGTTCTCATTTCCTTTACTTTAGTGATTGCCAAAACATACAGGCCAGTAAGTTCTTTCCAATGTCCACAGAATACACTGCGCTAGTTTTTCTGGATATAGATGTGATTCTTTTCAAGTAAACTTGAAATACCCCAAATCACATAACCAATGAAATAGTTGAGAAAGCAAATGGCTCTTGATTACATATCAGCATGTGTGTAAAACAGCAAGAGGAAAAAATGTCCAAAAATAGTTCTCTTTGCAATTTCTATAATACTCACTGAAAATTCCAAGGGAGGAAACTAAAAGTATGTGGTTCAGAGATAGGAAAAGTTGAGAGAGAAAGGGGGGGGGTAACAATCACCTAGATGTTCCTGTCCATTGTCCAAGGTCCACTGAAGAAATTTTATGAATATTCTCATGATATTTACACTGTTATTAGTATTAAGTCTCCTCAGAAATTTTGAAAATAAAATTTATTGCAAAATATTTAAACTCTAAATTATCACTAAGAAAATACACATTAATTTATATCTGTCTGCATTCATATATGAAAAGATCAGACATCCTTCACACCCTGGGCAGCAATCAGCAAAGCAGCACAGGAGCAAATAGGAGAGCCCCACACCCCCAGCAAGCAGTGGTCACACTCTGCACTGCCCACCAGGAGGACAGGTGAGACTATCAGAGAAAGAGAGAATAGACATCACAGCTGATCAATGTCTGTACATTTAGGTTATGGGCCCAATGCTGTGCCCATCTGGACAGAAGTGCTTGTTGTATTGACACTGATGAGGATAAAATACACAGAAAGCTATGCAAAAAGACACACTAGTCTATCAACAATTCAACAAAACCTACAGAAGCTATTTTAATTTGACATTATTCAATTTGTACCTCAAAATAATGAATACAGTGCTCAGATAATGATATAAAGGCAGTTCTCTAAAAACAGTCCCTGATACATATCCTACTAAACAGAGCATCAAATTACATGAGGGAAAGCATGAACATAAAGAGAAATATCACTGATTCAAAACTATGTCTGAAGACATCAAAACAACTCCATCAGTAATTGATAGCTGAAGAAAGAGGAAACATCTGCAAGAGAACAGTTAAAATTAACGTTATGTTTTACGGGGACTGAATGGATACTGCATAATGCTTTAATAACTACCCAGTACAAAGCTCTTCTCAAAACCACAAGAAATACTTGCCAAATATAGCATGTTCAGAGCAACAATAGAAAACATAATTTCTAGGGGCAGTGTAATTAAAGTATGTTGGGATATGTACCAACTCTCTACAATGAATATAATCATGATGTACAGTAAGATATACAGCAATAAAAGTAAAAAAAATGATCAGGAAAAATTTAAAGTGTTCAAAGTAATGAAAATTGTGCAAAGAAGGCTCTCAGACTTATTGAAATGAAATCTGACACCACCAACAGTAGAAACATATTTAAAACACTCCTAAGAGTTACATTAAATCATTTTGAAAGACATATGTTTCATATGCAAGGCTTGATGAAATATTAAGGATTGTATAAGTAAAAAGAAGAAAGGTCACAATATCAGAAATTTAGAAAAATAGCAAAATAAATATGGAAATCACTCAACAAATATGAAATTTCATTGCTCTTTATGTAGCTTATTGACAATAGAGAATTATTAAAAGTTCAAAGGCATTTTAAAATAATTAACATAATCCACTACAATAAATCTAGACAACAAAAAATCATAAAATCCTGTCAGTGGATATAGACAAAACAGAAGACCAAATACTACTAAGTACAGATTTAGATGGAACTTATAAAATTGTCTTTACTTGTATATAACATCATGGCATATGCTGGAAAAATTAAAGTACCAACAAAAATTTAATGGAATTACTAAGACATTATACCACAGAGTACATCCCTAGCATAAAATACAGTAATCTGCCATGTAATTATGTATCTGTTATAAATAAGTACATCATAAATTATAAAATTTACATCACAGCTCTGAGTGACACATGAATGTTAAATGCCTATATGAAAGAGGTTCAACCTGAGATACAGTAAGCCCAAGATAAAAAATCTTCTCTGTAATGAGGGAGGAATACCTAAGAATTTATCAGATTGCATTCTTCATAATATGCTGTTCCCTCCTCACAGATTGAAAATTTCTTCTCTCTTTCAACATTAATTTCCCCACAGTAAAGTTCTCACCTAGAATCACGTGATGGGTAGACTTACTGCTAAATGTATTGGCTCAAAAGATGCCTAAAATATTAGTAAGTCACATGTCTGGGTGTATCTGAGTAAGGCAAGGGGGCATGACCTTAGACATGACCTCTGTTCCAACACCCCTTATCTCACTCTTTCCTTACTCAAGAATTCCCACTGGAATGCTGAAGAGTTGGTGCTAGAAGCCTCAAAGAACTACAGACCAGCACGCAAAGATG